TTTGATTAAGCTTCTGGATTTGAACATCTTTGTTTCTGCATCTTTGCATCCAATTGCTAGCCACCTCCTGCTCTACCTCAAGTCTGGTGTTGAAATTTTTTCTTTCTAGCTCCCATTTTTCTTTTTCAACATTGGATTCTTCCATCTTTTGGCCTCTAACTTCAAGTTCAGCAATCAACTGGTTCATTTCAGATTCAAATCCCTTGAACATGCCATTTTTCTCACCTTCAAATTTGACAAAGATGTCATTCTTCATCTCTTCTAAATCTTTGGCTCGATCTCTTTCTCTTTGCATTTCATTCATGATCTCGCGGTGTTCAGCCTTGTGTTTTATAATTCGCTCTCTTCTGTCAACCTCGAAATCTTCCATTTTTTGCTTTCCTTTTTCCAGGCTTTTGAGTAGACGGCTATTCCTTCCTTTCAGATCTTCAACTCGTCTTTTCTCAATGTTCAATTCTCTGGTCATCTGTACCGTCGATTGGCTGGGTCCTGATGCTTTTCGGGATTTGTATAACTCCTGGTAATTTTTTTGTAAGGCTCTGTACTCATCCTCACCTTTTTCTTTATCTCTTCTTAACATTGCACATTGTGATGAATGAAAGTCAATGTCTACCCCCAACATAGCTTTATCTTGTCTCATTTGCTCTAATTCTTTCGACCAACCTTCTCTTTCTGCTTCAAACTCAGCTCTCAAGATTTCAATCTCTGATGGAACCACCTTAATGCGATCTTCCATAGAAATATCCTCATTTTGATCTGGTAGAGGAATATTTTCGTTTTTTCTAACAGATCTCCAATCTTCGTAATCAGGAGTTAGCATTTCTTTTGCTGCTTTAGCTCGGATACAAAAAGTTGTTTTCCAAGCTGTAACGGCTTCCATGATATTTCTTTTATAATTTTTGCTGTGGAATGCAAACTCAGATGACTGTAGTCCAACAGTGACAGGTACAAATTGACGACCTTCATACTGTCTTATAACCAGAAGTGGAGCATATCCAATTCCTCCCCATAATCCGAGCAGCATTATCCAGTTGTAATCACCACATCTGTAAAAGAATTCTCTTTGGATTTGCCATGGGGCGCGCCAAACAACGTCATTGCTTTGCAGATTTCGAAAGGCATTAATCCACATATCTTTCTTAATTTCTTTCGGCCATTCCTGCTCTAGAAATTCTTTTAATGGTGAGTAATCCGTATTGAAGCGTCGGTATGAAACCTTTTCCGTCCTCCAGAAATGACTACAGATCCAAACATATAACAACTGGGTACACCCTGAGAATCGTCCACCTCCTAGCCTTCTGCAAGCATTTAACGATCTGAAGGTCTCTGCTAGGATGGCAGAAACAAGATTAATCTTCTTCGGTAGCTGTTCAAACAAGTCTACCACTGCAGCTTCAACATATCCCAACACTTTTGGGAAGATGACCATACCATATATACCCAGAGCAAATAGATCGAATCGTACTTTAATATCTGGATGGCTTTGAATAAGTTCTCTGATGTTGGTCCAAGCTATGCCTTCGCTTTCGCCTTTTTGTTTTGTACGGGATGCTACCCATTCTTCTCGTACCCCGGCAATCTTTGCCAATTTAACTCGAAAGGGTTGAGTTTTAATTGACTTTGAATATATTCGATTCTCCAAAGCACCTTCAAGATGTAACAAAGTTGTATATTCTTCAATAGTAGGGACCAAGTCCTCCTTATTGAAAGTGAAGCAATTGTACCCTGGATTCCAGAATTGAACTAGGGCTCTGAGTAATTCATCATCAACTTCAACATAGAGCAAATATGGGATGTCTCCGTAAGTCTGATAAAATTGCAATTTTTTGTTTGAATCCTAACTTTCCCAAATGCTTCGCAAATCTTGCATATCATTTCTTTTTAGTGAAACTGAAGCATAACTGGCCAAGTCAGATACATAATCATCCTGCAGACTGTCTCCTTCTTGTCTTTGTAAATCCTCAGCCCACTGTCTTACTTCTGAGTTTAGAATTATTTGACATGAACACTTTTTATCCATAGATGAAGGCTTTCCAATGAGACAATTAACACAAGGATCAATGTCTTTTATCCTTTATGATGCAATGCAAACAGAAAAATAAAGAACACACAAAAAGAAAATATTAGTTTACATAATAAAGAAATTTAATAATAACATTTACATAAATATTCTTTATTTAAACATGCTTTTCTGAATTTAAATAATTTAAATAAACATGTAATTTAAACAATAAATAAATTAACAGAAAAGACAGAATTCATTTCTCCTGTGTGTACACCTATTTTGGACAAAATTTTGGCATGACTTCAGATTGGAAGAGTTTCTAAGGTTTTTTATATGCAAGGTTTCAGATCTAGGAGTAAAGGTACTCGAATTGTCCATGTTAGTGCCTCCTTAGGCTGCTAACCCTCAATCCTAGTCCATTACAGACTAAAGTGGATCGAGTTCAATTCGAGGGGATACATTTCTCTATGCCTGACACGGAGAATAAATTCTCACGAAAACATAGAGCATATGAACCCCGAAAGTTACTTGCTAGGTCTGACACGGAGAATAAATTCTCACGAAGACGTCGCTTTCACTCCCACTTAAAAGAGACAACTCAATTATAGAGCTTTATGTAATGCAATGCAAGTGTGGTGTGTGAGGAGAAATGTTCAAACCTTTGACAGAAAAATAAATACTGAAATAAAATACTTGCAAATAAAACATATAAATATTATAAAAATAATAAAAAAATTTGAAAAAAAAAGAATTAAAAATTAAATATATAAATTTTTAACTAATAGAGACAATTTATAATTAAATTTTTAAAAGTTTGACCTGGGTCCCCAGCGGAGTCGCCAAGCTGTCGTAACCGGTTTTCGTCCGGGCACGACCTATTAAATTTGGCGGGGAAATTGATGTTAATAAATAATTTTGAAAATAATTTGGGAGTCGCCATCGGCCTTTTGGGTCAGGTAGGTCGAATACCTAAAAAATATTTTTTTAAAAGAGTTTTAAGAAAACGTCAATTAAAAAATGAACTGATCTGCGTTTATAACCAAAAATTCGTTCTTTTTAATAATAAAAAGGGATTCGTGGTCGGTTACGTTTAGGGAAGGATTAGCACCCCTACAACGCCCAAAATTGGTACTTTTTAATTATAAATTGTCTCTATTATTAAAATTTAAAAATTCAAAAATATATTTAATTTATAATCCTATTATTTCAAAATTATATAAAAAAATATTTATTTATTTAAAAATATCTGAAAAGAATTTCTAGGTGCCTTAAGACAGCTCTTTTCTTTGATATTGATAAATATTAATTTTAATAATATTGTTTACTTTTTAATTTTAAAATATCAGAATAGGACATCCAGTTGTATTAAGACTGTCCTTTTCTTCGATATTAAAAATAAATATTTAAAAAAATACTATTTATTATATATTTATAAAAATATTTAATATTTAATAATATAATAAAAATACAAATATTACTAAAACAATATATTTAAAAACAATAAAATAAATGAAAACATATAAAATAACTAAAAAAATAAAATTAAAAATCTAATTCATAATTAATCTAAATTATAGGGATTAAATATGTTATTTCTTTATTTGGTGACTAAAATAAAATTATCTAAAATTTGGATATTAGAATCAAATAAATTAAAAATATAAACTAAGGATTAAAATATTATTTATTAAAATTAATGGATTAAATATGTAATTTATCCTAAATATATTATTTTAATATGAAGGACTAAAATAAATAAAATTAAAATTCGAAGACTAAATTAAAAATATTATAAATTCAATTTAGTGACTAAAATGTAAAATTTACAAATACGAAGGACTGCGGACGGGGTTTAACTATTTCATAATTACGCGCATAGTCCTTCCCGAAACGACGTCGTTCGGGAAGGACTATAAGAGTCCAAATCGGCTGGCCCGAAGGGCCAACCATTTCATTCCTCATTTCCTTCTCTCTCTCTAAACCGAGAGAGTTTAAAAACTCTCTCGCCTCTCTCTAACTTCCCTCACCGGAGGGAAGCCGGTCACCGGTCGGCCACCGTGTGCCGCCGTGATTATCACCGCCGGCCACCGGAAAATTGTATTTTGACACCATTAAATAGATCGGGACGTCTTAAGGACGTTTCCGGTGTTCTTTTTCCTTAAGAAGCTCCCAATCGGAGCAAATCTACAAATATACCTTCGGTTTTTGTTGGTTCTGACGAGATCCGGTGGTCGAGGCTTCCTCGGTAAGTCTCCTCTTCCTTTTTTTATTTTTTTTTCTGGTTTTCTTGCTGCTGAGATCGTTGGTAATAGTTTGGATTTTCTCTGTTTTTTTTTCTATGTCTCTTTCTCGTCTTTTTTTTTTTTGTCTCTCTGTCTCGTTGTATATCTCTGTCTTCTTTTTTTTTCTTTTTTTTTCTTTTTTTTTTCTTCGCAGATGGGGTGGTGGCTTTTATAGCCACCACCGGTGTTCGTCTCAGACCGGTCCGAAGAGGGGGCCTCGGTGAGTCACCGGACTACCAGTGGTGACTCACCCCGTAGCCTTGCATGGACGGCTGGTATATGATCTTCTGGAGTCTTCGGTTGGGACGTGGCAGCGGCGGAGGCGGCGAGGGCTGTCGGCAGCCGCGTGGAAGCTGGAGCGGCGCCGCGTGGCCCTAGGGTATCAAACCCTAGGGTTTCTCTCTGGAACCATCTGGACCGTTGGATCTTGCCAGATCCAACGGCTGTGAGCTGAGGCGGCTGATTAATTAGGGTTAGGAAACCCTAACTGGAAACCTAAACATTTAGGGTTTCTAGTTAGTTTTGGACCGGTTCTGGTTGGTTTGTAACTGGACCGGTTCAGTTGTAATTGGGCCTGTAAATATTATTATGTATTTAATATATTTAATATAAATTAATAATAATAATAATAATAATAATAATAATAATAATAATAATAATAATAATAATAATAATAATATGGATAAAAAATTAATATCTTCATCAAGCATAACGGAAAACACAAGCTCAGACCTTTTAACACCAGGTTGCATCTCAACCCACCTAAAAAACCTCAAAGCAATTCCGGCTCTTTCTCTCATCAAGTTAAAAACTTTGATAAACAAATGCGGGTCGAAAATAATAGCATGGAACTGATTGGAAACCCAGTTGGCGTTACAAACAGCCCAGGGCTTTTCATCAATGGTGTTAAAGATGAGGTCTTTGTAATGGGTTTCGGTGGCGGGGGTTGGGGAAGGGAAAATGTGGAGAAGAGAGAAGGAGAAAGGGAAGAGGAAACGTACCTTGCAAGTGAGAGAGAGAGTGGCAACGGTGGCCAAAGATTTTGAAGCTCTTTTGATGCAAAGGGTCATCGAGGATACATAGGTTGATTGTTGTGACACAAGACTACCAACCGTCTCTCTCTCCGTGCGTGTTTCAGTTGGATAAGAGGTTAATATCAATAGAAGTAGAGGAAGAGGTGGTGTTTTTGATACAGCGGAGGAGGAGAAGACTGAAAGGGGAAGTGGGTTTTGGGTTTAGACAAATTGCCATTAGGGGCGTAGGTGCCTTTTTCCATTTATTATTTTGCCTATTCTATTTTATGTTAGATGTTGGACTTAGATACGTAAATATTTATAATATTTTTTAATAATTTTTGGCGTACGAGTGTTATCTGTTCGTAACCATATTTTAATTGGCTGATTACATTGTAAGTTTTTGAAATATATGACTTGTTTATAATCAAACTAATAATTGAGTGACCTAGGATGTAGGTTTTCTAATTATTTTTAGAGCAAATTTTAAATTACACTATATGCCATTCTATTGTTAGTAATTTTATAATTTAATCATAATACTCTAAAAAGTTTTAATCAGATTATTTAATCAACTGATTATAAAAATTATGTCATTGTGTGGTTAAATATTAAGCCCCAATAGCGCTCTCTATGTCTCTTTTTCAACATAATTTTCTTTCAATATTTTTGTGTCTTATTCTTCTTCTTTTTTCCTTTGATTTTTGTTTAATCGACATTGACATTAATTTTAATGTTGATTGTCGACCGTCGATGAATATTAATTTTCTTATTTTTTATACTATGTCTTTTGTTTTCTTTTTTTTCTTAAGTCTTTTTAATTTTGAATAAGAATCTCTTTACCTGTGACATGTTTTTCTCAGCTCTTGTGGCACGCATTTTCTCTGTTATTGTGTCATGATCATTGTGGTTTTTGGTACGTTTTTCATACACATTTGTTGTCGTTTTGGTGCTCGCACAAAAATCATAACGACATTTATTTTCTGATTGGTTTGTCAGTGATCACGTATAGTTATATCCCTCTTTGGTAAAATATTGTTTATCTATATAATCAGAATTATATAGCGAAGCAACATGTTAGATTGTTTAGTTCGCTCACCACTCCTTAACACTTCGTGAAACGTCTCATTCAACAGTGATAAGGAGTTTTTATGAAAACCACTTAATTCTTTTGATGTTGATCTTTATTCTCAATGAAAGATTTTGTTTTCTTCCTATATTTAGGCTTAATATTTTATTTTGTATGAGTATTAATTTTTTCTATATTTTTATCTGTTGTAATTCTGATTCATTCGATTATTAATAAAAACCAGTTATGGTTATAAAGAGACAATTACATCCTAAATTATTTTCTTATTTGTAAATTTACAATTAATTCATCATATTTAAAAAAGTCAAGCACTTGAGGAGAGCATGACGACGATGAAAAACCAATTTTATTTAATCAGTATTTTCTATTACAGAGGTAAATAATAAGTATCTTATGGTAATAAAATTTCTCTGTTCCTACTTCCTAAATTATATATATCATTAATTCTGCTTTCTTACTTACTTCCGTACTCCATTGATGGGCTCCTTGTGATAGCCTAAGTAATAGTAATAAAGTTTCTATGTTCCAAACTTATATATCCCATCAATTCTGTTTTCTTACATGACTCCATACTCTGGTGTTGAGCTTCCATGGAATAGCCTTTCCCTTGCTTCAATGGACTGCAGTTTTGGCACAATCCATAAAATAAAATATAAGCCATGAACAGGACTCGACGCTGAAATTCTTAAGATAGGTTGGTGGACCGAGTATGGAGGTGACGGTCTTAGACGGTTGACTCTCTCTAGGAGAACCGCTATCGGTGGTCCGAACAGTAGGCGTGAGGTTGAAGATCCTTTAGACTACCGACTACGACTCTTTGCTCAATTAATTCAGAAAAAATGAACCGTCTAAGATCATCACTTTCCTACTCAGACAATAACTATAGTAGTTGAAATTCTTAAGACTAGTCCACTAAATGTTGTTTCTCCTGTCTAACCCTTGTCATGAACATAAATAATCAAGATAATTTGCAGTATCATAGAAGATTTTAAGAATGTAAGATGAACCTGTTTTTCCCAATTTATGCAACTTGTAACAATGGCGAGCAGAATATTTTGTGTTAAAGCGCCGGACTGTTAACCGAACCACAGGCCAAGCCGTCTCTACTGCATCCAAAAGGCAAGGGTAGCAGCCACTGGGATTCCGACAAGATAAAATGCTGTCAAGTTGACATAAGCTCCTATATGTTGCCATCCGCATCCTCTTGCAATACCTGATCCAAGCAAGCACCATTTGTGGAAAGACTGCATCTATAACATGCATAGTTGTTCACCAAAATGTTAACGACTTTAACCTGAAAGAACCGCCTGTATGCTGTCAAGAATAACAGACACACAAACATAGGGAGCCATGATCGTCACATAATCCACCACTTCTTTCTCATTGCTATAGACGTAACTGAAAACGCGCCGGGTCGTGAACAGGGTTCCAGATACTACAACGGTCTCTAAAACCGCGAGAGCTATAGTGACAAACAATGCCACCCGCACCACTCAGGGGTTCCCTGCCCCGAGTTCATTCAAACTCGAGTACTATTTACACGAATTGGAAATGACTCTTGGTTAAATTAACTTATGGAAAAATAAGATGTGGATGCATATCAGGGGCATACCATGCTCCCGCAGCAAGTCCATATGGTATGGAATAAAGTGTTGTGATGGTGTTGAGACTGCTTGGGAAAGTTGAAAAGCTCAGTAGTAGAATAATTACACTATGATTCAATTGAAAAATCATACAACTACAAGTGAACAAACCACACAGATAAGACGGATGTTTCCAGCTCGGGATGAGGTAAAAGACCAGACAGCAGGATAAGTAGCTCAAATGACCACCATTCAAGGCTGCAATTGTTCGAATAAACACGAAAATACGGATCTTCAAGACTTGAACAAGTTGTACAAACATATTCAGGTGATGGAAAGAGGAGATAACATACCAAACCATGATAGTAGAAGGGATAGCAAATCGAACAAACTCGGTAACTTCTTCGAATAATTCCATTGTCACGGGGAAACGAGTTTTTGAGCAGGTAGGAGAGTAGCGCATAAAAAGAACAAGGAAAATTGTATTTAACCAGTTTGAGATACTAATGGCTAATGCTCCTATATTTTCCAATCCAACCTTGAATACTAGAGCCCAACATAGAGGTAAATGTGCCAAAAGACTGATGCAATAGCATATGAGCAAGGGACTGATCAAACTTTGGGTTTGAAAGTAGTTAACAAGTGGTTGAAAAGTAGCATAGGCAAATAGTGCCGGGATAAGCCACCGGATGAATTTACCGGCTTCGTGTGAAATTAAGGGATCTTGACCGACGAAAACAAATATCCTTCCCATGTATAGCCATAGGAGCGACAGAGAGATGCATATTACTGTCAATAGCAGTGTACTGTAGGTATGGATTCCCACTTTTTCGTACTGTTGAGCTCCATAAGCCTGTCTGCTCAGCGTCTCCAATGCAAAAGCCATTCCTAGCTGGTAACCACATACAAATAACAAAATTTGTAATTTCCATACGTTAGATATGCTATTAATATGGGTAAATTATATCATGTTCTATTGAACTTTAGGCCATATATCGTTTATATCACCAAACTTTTAATTTCTCTAATTATAGCGCTAACTCTAGTTTTAACTTCAATTATGCTACTAGGCTGTTAAATATTAATGGCACGATGACGTGGAAATATCTTTTCATCGTTGTGATGACATGGACAAAATGATGTTGTTTTAGGAACTGAATTTTAGAGATATATCGATTTTGTCACTAAACTTTTAAATGGATCCATTTTTAGCACTGGACTTCTCCGACCATAGTGCCAGTTAAAAGTTTGACGAGAATCCAAAACAATCGCATTTTACTGCTTTTGGTATCGATTTTGAATGAATTTCGTGAAAAACCAATATTAAGAGAAGAAAGGAGAACGAATATGAAGTTTTTAGTACGAGTCTTGTCGTCAAAGACGACCAATGAAGGGCGATAATTTGGTTGTACGGTGGGAGAAAAGTATAATGCCAAAAATAAAAGTGCAAGTTTAGTGACAATTGACACACCTCTAAAATTTAGTGCTTAAAGCAACACCATTTTAGGCATCAATAGTCGTAGTCAACACGAGGTTGTTTTATCTACGTCATCACACTGTTTAAATTTTGACAACTCAATTGAATAATAAAGTTAATACTAAAATTCAGTTTTATAATTCGGTAAATTAAAAGTTTAATAATATAAAATAATACATTGTCTAAAGTTTACTTATATGTGATGTAGTTTATCCTATAAATATCAGTGTTCCAACTTGATTAAGCAAGTAGAAGCAAAATGAAAATCGACTTACAAGAACACAGAAGCCGGAGACGGAGAAGAGAGAGATGGCAATGGAAGAGCTAGCGAGAGCAAGCTCGCCGAGATGACCCACCATCATCGTCGATATAACTTGCAATAGGTACTCCGATATGTTCACAGCCACCATAGGCCCATAAGGTAGCCCACTCTCTTTGTTTCTTCGAAGAAAGCAGTCCATGTCAACCACCCACAACTCCTCTCCTCGTTCTCTAATTTGGGTATCAACCTCTCTTCCATGCTTCTCTTCTTCTTCTCCGGCGTGTCTGCCATGTCTCTTTAAGTTTTTCAAAAAATGGGAGACGCAACAGAAAGATGATGGATTTATAAGTGTAGAATAAAATATACGGGCGTCTTAATCGCATCACGTGAATGCGAATACGTTCTATTGTCGTCGACGATACATCTGCGGACTTTTGAGAACATATAAACCTCAAACCCGAGTTTGGCTACGATAGAGGACATCCCTAGCTTTCTTTAGGGGAAAAAAACATGCGAGGAGATAATGGAAAACACATTTGCTCCAAGGTAGGACAGGGGACAGACATAATTACTTGCCACGTGTATATTTATTTTTAAAATAATTCTTAACAATTTTTCGCATTAAATGTGTTTTTAAATATTAATTATATTTAACTCATATTTGAAATATATATAAAATCAAATATATATATATATATATATATATATATATATATATATATATATATATATATATACACCCACGAGGAAAGATCCACTTATAATATAAAATTTTTAGTTATATATATATATTTAATATGGTTAGGTAACACTTACGGTCGATTACAACTATTCATTTTTATTCATTCGATTATTTTAAGAAAATATAAAATTTAAAAATTTATTCTAAAATAATTATATTATGTCAACGGATCCAACCTCTATTATATATTATATGAAAATTAATTATCTCCGTTCAACTTTAAGCATCAATTGTGTGACATTAATCTGTATATTGATTCCATTTGGGTGTATACACACTTTCAATGCATGCCACGATATTTAAGGAAACAAATCTTGATATTGAATATATTCTAAAAATGATCTAAACCCTTAAAATCGTTCATGTGTATATACAGAAAACAAATACAATGATTTTGTACCGACAACCAGTTGATCTAGTGGGATGAGGTATTAGATCCCTTATGCAAGGTTAGATGTTCAAATCTTGACAATTACATACGGAGTAAACTGGGTTGGGATGATCGCTTTTGCCTCTGTAGTACTCGATTCGGATTAATCGATTAATATATCAAATATGGTGGTTATAAAAAAATAAAATGATTGTGTAACATAGTTGTATAAATTTTTTTAGAGTGAAAAATATATTATGAGTTACCTTTTCAAATGAGTTCATAACAAAACTACAAGACACCATATAAATGGTTGTCCCTTGTTCCCATATGTAATGGGGTAAGGGGAGGTAAGATAATAGGTTGCCCCCAACACTAAGTTGAGAGCAACTTCCGTAGGAGACCTCCAAATTATGAAATGCCCTCTCGATCCCACGACCTCAAATGAGTTCATAACAAAAATCAATAAGTGTATAACAAAGACTTAATTGAAAAAAAATAAAAAGAAATATTATAGAGATTATAAGGTATAATTACGAAAGTCATATTCTTTTCACCCTAAACATTAAATCTTACCTTATCTCACCCTTTAAAAAAATCGATAAAATTCAAATTTTTAAAATAAAATTTTGACCGAGTCGAAACTTATCGAATCTGGGTGAAATTCAAATCCCCTATTTGTGATTTCTACACAAGGTGGCATTTCTCTTGGATGGCCTGTAACTCAGTGCACTCAAGCTGTAGATGCAGAGATTGTCTTGTCTTGATTTCACAGATATCTGGTTAGTGGAAATCTTCAAACCTGGTACACTGCATTCTGCCGATTTGCTCCTTATTAAACTCGCCTCGCATAATGACTCAATGGCCAAACCTTCCACACAGTCAACACCATCAACATGCGGTATTTCTAGCTTGTACACCCCATATTTATCTGTAGTTCTGTTGACTGAGACACTCATTTGCTCTGTTGTTCTTTCTGATTTTGCCTTAAACTTGCATTCGATGTTGACTTCAACACCTGTTAAAAAACAAAGGCTAGCTACATATTACAAACACATGTTTGTGTTCGTTCCTCTGTGAAGTATATCTTTTTTTTTTCGCGGGGATGTAAACCAACAGAGTATTTGAAATAAACCATAGTTTGTTTATTAAATTAAATAAATACGTATAAAGCAAATTTATGATCAATTAATAAATGATTAAACACGAATGGAGATTTATTCAGTTCGTTTATGTTCACAAATAAATTTGTTTGAAATCTAGTTTATTATTAGAAAAGATAGGGACTACATGAACATATTATAAATTTTAAAATTCAAACTGTGAAGTCTAAAGATTTTAAGGATTAGTAGCATAATTTTACCATTTTTTCAATATATAAAAAGGGTGATTCTAACCCTAACTAAATTTTGCAAGAATATTTTAAAAATAAACAACCGAATACAAACCGAATAGAAATATTTTAAAAATAAACAAACGAACAATAATATCATCTTATCCGTTCGAACACAACTTTTTGATATTGTGCTAGTCTTATACCTGGCAAGAAGTAGCTGTGTCTAGAGACAGTGTTGCTCGAACACGTATCACAGAAAACAACGCCCACTACTGTGATCCGAGAGATGGGATTTTGGGGTTGAGCAATTGCAGAAAGTCGATACATGAAAGAGAATGCCAAAAGAAGAAGATGAAGACGAACGATTGGATCCATGGCAGCTAGCAAGCATGAGAGAAGTGAGAAGAAGCTTCCACTAGGGCTTCTCTACTTGAGCACTCATATTATACCAGTTGGAAGAAGAAAGCATTTTAGTTCACTATAGCTTAAGATCAGTGGAGAAAATAGGAGCAGTATCCAAATAGCTATGAGCCCGTGAGTGGTAGGTGTTAGGACCAGACCAACTGTAAAGCAAGGAGCTGGAAATGTATTTTTTTTATTTTCTAATCACTAAAAACAAAGACATGTGAAGAGCTTTCTTGTCGGAATGTGATAAAATATGGAAATTCAGTAAGATTGCTACTCTGTAGCAGATTGACACTTCACAGTGCATTGATTTGGGTGTCTGTTGTTTTCCTCGTTAATTACAGAAAAGGTCTAATCCAAGTCATCAGCTGCACCATTAACATGCATTTAGTTCGAATAATCTTATATTAATTTCATTTGTATAAAATCATTTGTAGGTACTATTTGAGAATGTAAGAGATAATTTATAAATTTTTAGATGATTAGAATGCCATATTTTAGATGATTTTATCAGCTTTAAGTCTCGTTCGCTATTGTTTAGCAAAGAATTTTTTGGGTCAAAAGTAATTTTAGATACATGAACACGACATACTCATGTTTAGAGAAAAATTGTATTTGAAAAACACTTTTTTAATGTCATCATTCGATAATAATTTATCGGTCCACTGATAAAAATAATAATTTAAAAATTTTAATGGTAAAATTAAAATTTTTATGGCCTAATGACCAAAACAAGGTGATGTCTAAAGTTCAGTGACTAAGGATACAGTTTACCAAAACTATTTTTATTATAATAATAGGTAGCACATCAATACTCCGTAAACTATGAATTCCTTAACATTTTGGTCAAGAAACTTAAATATTATAAAATGATCATTAAAAGTATCCAAAAGTACATTTTGGTCACTCTTCCCTTACTTGCCATTAAAAGGGATGATGTCACTAATGTTAAAAATTTCATTTAACGCCTTAATTATAACTAAAAATTTATTATGATTTTTTTAATATTTTTAAGTACTAATTAAAAAAGAGTTAATTATATGATTGATCACTTATGTTTGTATTTTTTCACTTTTCCTCATTGATTTCAAAAAAATACAATATATGGTCACTTTTGTTTTATTTAATTAAGACGTAGTCACCACGAGTTAATTGTCGTTAAATATTTTGGCATAATCACACATTTGGTCTCTGTTATTTACATATTCTCTCAATTTAGTTACATTGCTAATAATTTAATCCTTCAATCGAATGGTGTCATGTGTCACTGGTACCAGTGTTGTGCCACATGTCACCATTTGGTTGGAGGAATAACTTTAATTTAATTTATTTTAATTTAATATATAAAAATATTATGAATTTAAGTTAAGTATGTTGAATTGAAATAAATTAAAATAAAGTTAGTCTTTCAATCGAATGGTGACATTAGACACAACTTGTTGAATTAGTGACGCGTGACATCATTCGATTGGAGGATTAACATTATTTTAATTTATTAAAAGTGTAACTAAATTGTGAGAACATGTAAATAATTGGGACTAAATGTGTGACAATACCAAAATATCACGTCACATAATTTGTTAACTATTAATGACAATTAACTCATGGCGACTTAATTAATAAAAACAAAAGTGACTATATATATTTGTTTTTGAAATCAATGAGAAAAGATGAACAAAATACAAACATAAGTGATCAATCATGTAGTTAGCCCTTAAGAAAATATTTTATGATTTTTTAAAGGGTAAAGTACACAATATCCCCCCGACTATAGGGTATTATTATTTTAAGTCCCTCAACTATTAAACATTACAAAATGGTCCTCTAACTATAGGATACTATGATTTTAACTCCCAAAACTATTAAAAGTTACAAAGTGGTCCTCTGACTATAGGATGTTGCTTTGTTGAGTCTCCAACTATTAGAAGTTACAAAACTGTCATCTGACTATTCATTATGTTCCAAACTCGTCCTTTTTCGTTTAAAAAATGGATGGTATTCTGAGCCAAACGTTAACATGTTGACAATGATATGATAAAATTTGATCCTAGAATCTCAAATGACTATCATATCTCAGTTATCATATTAACGTCCAACCTAAACGACCGTCAATTTTTAATGGAAAAAGACTAGTTTGGAACATAATAAATAATCGGGTGATCATTTTGTAACTTTTAATAGTCGATGGACTTAACGAATCAACATTCTAAAGTTGAAGGATGATTTTGTAACTTTTAATAGTCAAAGGACTTAATAAAACAATATCATATAGTTAAGGGATCATTTGTGTACTTTACCCTCTTTTAAAAATGTTTTTTATTCTAATATATGAAAAATTATAATTTATTTTTGAAAATATAATTTATTTGAAATTATATTTTTGTGACTTTTTAAAATCATGCAAAATTTAATTATTCAATCTAACATTTTCTTAAAATGTTATTGAAACATGAAATATAAGGCTTATACATTCGCTTGCTACTTTATATATATAACTAATTTTATTCGAAATAGCAAGCATCCCAAATTACAATAGAGATTTACAATTACACTCGTAAATTAAGCACGTAATTAGAAAATTTTCCTATAATCATTTAAATAAAACTAGCAACTTAAGTTCACATAAGGATCATACAAGAAAAGATTAAATCTAACCAAGAAACTCGAACAAATATAGATACAAACGGATTTGATTGCAATGACAAACGAACCACAAAAGGGAATCAAGCTATTAAAAGACCACCGAAAAACCGCAAGTCAGACGCGAACTACGCGAAAAGCTATCTACGAATGCAAATCGAGTATTCAAATTCAATCTAAGGGTCCAAAGCATGGAAGATCAACAAGATATCAGATAAGCGCCATCTTGATCAGTCATGACGATATCAAATCAATCCTTATAAAAAGATAAATGAAAAAACTGCCAAAGAATCGAAAAACATACCAAAAAACATAAGAACACATGTGTTGAAAAACATTTTGATGTTTCGATATAACAAATTAAGTATAAATGAATTTTAAGATTTTACAAATGATTTTCTAAGTATATTCGATTTAATTACTCGAATATCAAATTATTACTCTAAGTCTTCAAGATCAATTTCAAACCTTACTAAATGTGTAAAATTGTGTTTTATACTTAATATATTTTTGAAACAATTTTCACAAAATATTTTGAACCAAAATCAAGCCTAAAATCAATTTTTCAAAGTGATGCACCGATGCACCAATCCATGCATCGATACACCATGGAATAAATTGAACATCGAATGCATTTCATGCATCGATGCACATACTATGCATCGATGCACATACTATGCATCGATGCACATACTATGCATCGATGCACTCAGAGTTTTATGAAAACATCGAATGCATTTGATGCATCGATGCACCAGCCATGCATCGATGCACTCTGGCTATTTTGAAATATCGAATGCATTTCATGCATCGATGCACTAAGGGTCCAACGATCAAAATATTTGAATTTTACACTTGATGCACCTTGGGTATACATCGATGCACTAACGCTCCCAACTGATTTTATTAATTGTTTTCACACTTAAACGGCTCTATTGACTCCACTAATCATCCCCAACGTTCAGAATCATTTGAAGGTATATTTAAACAATCTTAGAAGCCATTGATTAATAACAATAATACACAAGAAACAAGAATCAAAATAGAATCAAAGAGAAAGCATCAAACCTCAAGTTTAAGCATTTCAAGCCTATTTTTCATTCAATATTCATTTTGCTTTCAAGAACACTACTTGTACTCAATTGTATTCATTTTTTAGTGTTCTTTTTTTTTGTTCTAAGAATTGTGCAAACAATCTACCTTGTGAGGATTTCCTTGTAAGTTTGCAAATTTATAATATTCTCTTTGAGAAAGAGTGTTCTCAAGAATTAGGGTATATTCTTGAGGGAGTTGTAAGGTTATCTCTTTGGCCTCAAAAGAAAGAACAAATTAGTGAATTTGTTGGAAAATCCTTAGTGTGGATAGTTAAGGTAGTGGACGTAGACTTTGGTTGAGAAAGTCGAACCACTCTAAATCGCTGTGCAAATCTTTTCAATTTTCTGCAAAAGCTTCCACCAAAATTTTAATTGCCAATTCACCCCCTCTTGGCCAATTCCATCGATCGAGTGAAGGTTTAATAACCTCTTGAGTTGATTCAGGAAGTGTTACATCGATTATCAAGTCATCAATGGCCCCTATTTCAAATGTCAACTCCGGTCTCGATTCGATGCCCGTTAACAAGCCTCATTTCTTCAATGAAGCTAACTATGCCTATTGGAAGAATAGGATGATGTATTTCATTCAAGCAAGTGACATGGGAACATGAAATGTTGTAGAAGACGGATATATCAAGCCTCTCACTCATCCAAGATTATGGAGTGAAGAAGAGACAATAATATTCCAGTTCAACTCCAAAGCCATCCATATCATATTTTGTACTATTAGACCAGATGAAAATGGAAGAGTTTCATCTTGTACAACCGCCAAAGAAATATGGGATAAACTACAAGTCACTCATGAAGGCACCGACGAGGTAAAAGAATCTAAAATTAGACTTCTAACACATAGCTATAAAAATTTCATGATGAAACCAAATGAAGATATCAAAGCTATGACGGATAGATTCTCAACGATTGTCAATGATCTCAAATCATATGGAGAAATCATTCCAAACGAAAATCTTGTGAGGAAGTTAGTTTACTCACTTCCAAAATCGTGGCAATCCAAGAAGACTGCAATTATCGAGGCTAAGAACCTAAAGTCCTTAACTCTTGAAGAGTTAATCGGTTCCTTTCTCACTCATGAAATGATGCTTGAAGATGAGGTGGACCTCGATAAGATTGACGAGACACCAAAAGAGAAGGAGAAGAACAAAAATATTGGAATTGCTCTCAAATCCACAAAAGAAGATAGTGATTCGGATGAAGATGACGATGACGAGGAAATGACATTGTTTGTCAAACGGTTCAGAAAAATGATGAGACCTTACCGAGGAAGATAATTTAAACGAAATGAAGGCCTAAAAAATGAACCAAAA